GATTCTCAAGTTTATATTAAATTTAATAAGTGGGGTATACCCCACCATCATTTTTAATAGTGTTCCGAACCTCATGCAATTCTGTTCAATTCTATTCGATTACAATTTTCGGAACCATATTCTTAACACATTATATAAAAAAAATTTTATAACTTGAATAATAACAATATTTTTTATATATTAACATTTTTTAAATAAATAAAAAACTATTATATTATTTTTTTTATTTATTATATATCAAGTCAATTTTAAAAAATAATTTTAATAATTTTAATTATAACTCGAGGACAACCCTTTATATTTGATTGTATTATTTTTATATAATTGTATAAATATCTTTTTACTTTATAAAATTAAAATTAATAATAATTTTAATATATACATTAAAAATTTATTTTATATACTTTGCTATTGAATAAGTAATAGTATTTTATTATAAACATATGTTTTTTTAAGTTATGAGTAAGAAATATGCTTTTTTTTACTATATAACACAAAAAATTTAATTAAATGATTTTAATTCAAATATGCTTAACGTTAATCACGTTAATCTAATAAAGCAAATCGTGTGACATATCACTTGACTCGTTCAGATAGATAAAATAATTAAAAACAGATGCATCACGTGAATCGTTTACAATGAAGTCCATTAACCAAAGAACCGCGTCCTATGGAAGCAGTAGTCTTCCGGCGACCAAGGTGGAAACGGTTTCATCAAATGACCAAAAACAAAATTCTTCCAGGTGGAATTTCTTATTTATTTCGGGATCTCCTTTCTGTGAAATTTAATGTTTTTTAAATCATGATACGTCTATTCAGCGATGCAAATATTTTCAAGCCCGTTGAATCACCGACGACATTAACCAAAACACCAACTTATGAATATTATGGTTTTGCCCTTTACTTGTTATCTTTCATCGCGTTTGGTAAAATATTGAACTACACGTTTCTTGAACTTTCCATTTGACTTTGTATAACAATACTGACATGGAATCATGATGATTTAGTGATATTTTTATTATGGGCATATCTACCAGACGAGGCGTTAATATCCTTAGGAATAACTTATTATCCCGATAGGTGAGCAAAATATCAGTGTTTTTGATTATATTGATGACATGATTTAACACTTAATCTGGTATAATTTTAGATATTGGGCACTTGCACTACCCGTTTGGTCTTTTGTCTTAGTCCTCTTCATATTTGTCGCGTTTATTTCGATAAATTTTTTAAATACTGCTCCGCTTGATTCGTTTAATACAATAACAGGTATATACACTAAAATTTTCCGGCTTTCTTATGTGCATCGAATGACCTCTTTTTAAATTAAGATGATCACGCAAATGTCGGGCAAGATCTTTCCAAACTTTCACAAATTACCGATGGTTTTGTGCCAGAATTACATGACATACCTATAGGAATAGTCAATGCTTGTTTGTATCAGAAGTGGAAGGACATATAGAAGGGGAATGAAACTTAATGATAAAAAAAGTTTTTTTTTGAGTCTTCTATAATCTCGACATCCTTAGTGTAATAAAATGTAATGGTCTATTAATAATATAGTATGAAATACAGAATCATATTATGACGCATTTAACTGAAATTTACTGGAATATTTATTGGCATGCTTGTAATACGCAAAGGGAAAGATTTTTCAAAAGAAGTAGACGAACGAATTACCTCTTGTTATTCTGGAGTAAATTAACGCGTGTTAAAAAAACAGCTCTCAGTTGTTTTTTGGCGTTATAATTCTCTGCATTTAAATGGTTTCCTTTGCATTAACTTTTGAGGTTAGACATTTTGACGAGAGTAGTTATTACTCAGGATGTTTCTTGAGCTTGCCATGAATCCTCCGGAACAAATTTCTAGTGAAATTGATGTTACGACTAAGGTACATATAAATAAAGGCGCAGTTACTCACGTGAGTATCCCATAATTTCACACTTTGTCAAATTTAACTGTTTTATAAGCATTTTCAATTCTAATGCTATTGTCGGTCAATGTGGCGATTGACTGTAGCTCTGCTTCTGGAGGACAGGATGATAGGATAATCCTCATTTGGATTTACAATTCTTAACTCCGCATGTTGAGAGTAGTGTCTCACTTGAACTTGATGTGAACATTCTGACTTGAATGTAAATTTGGGTCAGGAGGTTCTTAAATAGTGGGGGAGTAAGCCCGAGGCTGGAAACAGAGCAGGGAAAACTCGCAGCATTAAGTGGCAGTGAGATAGCACACTTGAGTGATTGGTAGTTGGAATTGCTAAATGAGCTGATTGGACTTCCCGTCCGTTAACCTTTATTTTTTTTATATATTCCAGTAATACACATTTACGATTGTTTTAATTCTTTAACACAAAATATCTCTGAATTTACAGGGATTTATTATATTTATTTTTATCGTATTAGTAATTCTCGATCTTCTTTACAAGCCCGTCAGTACATTTCAAATATCTCAAACACACTGGGAATTTCATATATACACGTTACATATACTATTGCTACCATTAGATAAACTGTTACACCACATACTTGATAATTCACAGGATGATCGAAATCAAAAACTCTTACGTTCGTACTTGACAGTTAAATTTACTCATGTCGGAAATTCTTGCTTTCACACCAACCTTTTTCAAATTAATAGATTTCGACACCATATGTGTCCGAAAAGATTTTAGCTTACCGCCGGATATTTTGACACCTGAAGTATTAGCTGATAGAGCGGCTAAAGCAAGTGCTAGAATTTCTGGTCGTTATCAAAAGTTAAATAGAAATTATGCATTTGATGGGGATAATTCAACGCATAATAAGATGATCAAAAGATCTTACGGGAATGGCAATGGTAATGGGGAAAGTTACTCGACCACGTGGAAATCTTTTCAAGGTCGACCCTATCCTTTTCGCAAAAGAAAAAATAGTCGATTATTAGATGAAGAAGAGATTCGAGCACTTCCAAGTAAATATAGATTTCAAATTATTTGACCTACCTTCGTTATGCAGTTTGAAGGACTGCAATTTTATCTTGATTCTTTCAGAACAGCCGAGTTATGAAAAATATAATGCCCGAGCATTCGAAGAAAATCCTTTCATGAAACAAACAACTCCTTCAACACTCATCAAAGGGACATATAAATTAAATGCCGAGCAGATCGAGCGTTCCTTTCTACAAGTTTGCTTTAGGTTCGTACATTGTTTTTCTGATCGTTTTAGATTGATTAGCTTATAACATTCAATTCCTTGAATAGCGAACAGGTGAATTCTCTAATTAAAGCTGCCGAATGGTTAGAAAAAAATGTAAGAAAATTTTCCTTATATTACTTTTAATTTATTACATGTAAAATTACCTTTTTTTAAAATACTATCAATGGTTAATTTGAGATAGGATGTGCCAGTCGAACAAGAGCTTAATTCTGAATCCAACCGCCGAATAATTGAAACCACATCCGAAGCTTGAATTCCATGAAGGCTGATTAGCAATAAAATATCATCGTGTTGAGTGTTTCGAGGATTAAATTGAAGTAATTGTAGATTCTTGCGTAAATCGTGTTTGTATTTTCTCTTTATTTCTTCTGTCTTTAAGACAATATTTTTAATGACTAGTGCAGTGTTGACATTTGATAGGCCGTTTTTCGGCGTTGTCTGATCAATGTTAAAAGAAAAAAAAATGACAATCGGAGTGTATTATAAGTAATATATGCAAAACCTTTATCTAATGAAATTGATCACTTTGAAACCTTAAAACAAAAGGCAGCTTTTGTCATCTTAGGGGTTATTGAGGTGTTACCCGAGAAAGCAAAAGGTGGAATTTATGTGCCATTTGTGCTTGTAAGAAAGTCATAGGACGATCAACAACTTTATTACATAATTTTCCAATAAACTTGAACATGTGTACACCATCTCAAAAAGATCCAATTATTAATGGCTTGGATTACGGTGTTAAAATGCAAATCGGACGTTCCATATCCTCAGTAAGTTCAAAATATAAGCTATTTTACCTGTAATAAAATAGAGATAAATGGATTTTACTTCTTAGGTGGAAGCTTAAAAAGAGAATTACAACTGCAGTAGATAAACGTACTTGGATTCACTTAATCACTGTATACTACTAGGTAGTTTAGATGAAATTTGCAAAAATAATTAGCTGCGAAAGCTAGAATAAACAATTGCGTGATTTTCAACCTATGATATTGCAAGGTATACATAATTTCCGTATGTTACAGTTGATAATTCGATGCAGTCAACATGCAAGATCACATAAGTTTATTTAATAAATCTTATAGGTGTTGACTTATCTTTAAACAAGGTTATAATATTTGAGGGGGGGCATCGAATTTGCGAGAAAGCAGAATGATGAACAAGGAAAAACAAAATTACGCTCAAGAACATTCTAGGTTATAAAATCGCTGCAATGTTTATATGAAATCTCATTGGATTTTATTTCGTGATATCAAGGATCAAACTGCTAAATTTATCACAAAATACCCCAGGAAAGGATACAGAATTGATCATGCGTATCACATCAATATGCCGTAAACGCATTGCTTTACCTGGGCTTACTCATCAAATTCATCCTAAAAATAAAAGTATATGATTACTGAATTCCATGAGGCTATATATAAATCATACATTATTCACACTCATACCAGAGGTTCTTTAGGCTCCTGATCCTCTCCAAATTGTAATGCATTGTCGATGTGAGACATCACTGCAGCTACAGAATCTTCGTCGGTGATGTTTAGCGGAAGGAAACTAACCATGTTGTAGTCATCGATCTGTAAATGTGAATTATATTATTACTATTATTTCATAAAACAAGAAAAGAAAAGAAATCATGTACCTAAGCACTAACTAATACTTGGAATTACCAGTTGTACGATTGCACGGTTTAAATCATGAAATTTTGGGTTCGTAGAGGTATTGGCTTCTTCTTCCAGTAACAGAGGATCAGGATCGAAATATCTGGTGGATACAAAGTTTTGTGTGGGAAAATGCTGAAATAACGTGCAGTGTAAAATTCACATACCTCTCCAACTCCTTTTTCTTAACCTTTCCCAACAAATCCATCTTGGAGAGCAAATTTATATGTGGTATCTCCAAGCTAATCATAGCCGAGGTCGCACTCAACACACCAGCAAAAAATTTCGATTTATCCTGTATAAATTGACTTTCCAACAAATACACGCCGCAAATTCGAAAATTTAATCGCTGCAAGCAATCGCAAATTCGACGCATTATCGGGAAATGTGTATACAGCTCGATCTGACCTTCATAAGTTCAAATTTGCGTTCAGATTTCACGAAACATGAGAAAATGTGAACCGAAATCGCCCAATTTACCTGGACAGTCAATGATCAAATAGTCATCCTCATATTCTCCCAATTCTTCTTCTAGCCAATCCATATCGTTCAACAAAAATCTTTAGATAAACAAAGAAACTTCTTACTATTATTGAGATTTGTGCATGAAAAATCATCTATTGCTACATTCTTCCTCGGCACCAACATACTCTAGACAATATATTAGTCCGCCATTGGGTCCATATTGCAATTCTTCCATCACGTCTTCTAAAGTAATAAGATCTCGAATGTCTAATGTATTCAAGTTGACATTAATGTACAATTCTTAACGTGGTTGAAAATAATGAAGGGTAAATTTTATACCAATGGTTGGTTCATATTCAAATTTTTCGGCTGCTGGGTCAAGGTTCATCAAATGTACCGAACGACCAACACTTTGGCAGTGGGTCATTACTGTCGCGCAATAGGTAGACTACCGAAGGCATTATGATAAAAAAATGTGGGTAGAGGTACACATACTACAATAGGACAAAGTTATCATGCTAACCTTTCCGGAACCTGCTGGTCCCATAACGAGTTGAACATAACGACCCCTATTTAAAATTTAATGAAAGAGTGTATTAATTCTCTATCCTTGGTGGAACAAACGTTTCGACGCGACTTATAATACTTGCATTACAAGAATTTATTCACGAGGCGAATGATTACTTGATTGCTTAGTAAAAATTCGAATTTTTTGTCACATGATTATGCATTCCAATTAACCAATAACATGATCGTATTTTTCCGCATAAATTTGAATTCAAATATTCGTTATTTGATATTTAAAAGATTTCTGTTGAATGATTATTTAATACACGTTAACAAACAGAAATCAAAAAAGAGATATATTATATAAACCTAAAATGAGTTCCAAACCACGGGGATCCACCTACGGCTTTGCATGTGGCTCTACCGAGTTAATTAAAATACAGAAAATATTCTTGGGTGTCACGGCTATCTTCGTGTACGTGACGCACGTTATACTTAGGCTAGGAATTTCCGCGCTCCAACGTCAAGGTTGATTTTATGAACGTCTCGTTGTTACCTGACCAATGAAAAAGAACTTACGCGTCTTTGTTGCGTGTAACTTTATTTAACAGATGTGTGCTCTCAAGAAAAAAACACAATTTCTCATTTTTTACTCGGTACCGTTTATGCTTTTATCAAGATATATATCGTTGGCCTATTACCGATCATAGCACTTCGCAAATGGCTCATTCAGGAATCAAGTATTTATAGACGCTTCAAGTCTCTTGTATGCGCATCTAATGCCCATGTTTCTAGCCCTATAAAATTATTATTTAACAGTTCGTCGAATTACGGTACCAAGTTTAATCGAAGAATTGAGAGACTTGCTGTCCAAAAAACGCGCCTACGTGGTGCCTTTGTTATATATTATGTCCGCGTTGTCAATAGGATCTTCTTATTATGATTTGATAGGTGAAAGCTATGGTCGAACCAAGAGAATAATCTTGCATCCAGAAGATCCAGAGTAAGATCTACTTCACGTGATGGGTCGAATCGAATTGCCCATGTTCTAATATTTCTTAATCATAATAAATAGATTCTGGTGTCCAACTCATAGGAAAGATAACTGCAAAATTCTACTTCCAATGATCAATGAACATTACATGATCGCGAATGTTCATAATTTCACCTTGGGACTTTGGTTTGGATTGTACTTTTTGTTACGTAAAAAACACATGCTGATGTTCCATATAGTCGAGGTAATTTACTTGAGGAAAGACTGTAAGAGCATATTCAGTTATAATTTACGTCAAGATTTTTTTTGAAGAAAAATCACACGTTAATTATTATTCATAAAATAGCCAAGACATATGCTTACCTTGCATAAAGAACTCTTGGCGATATGGAACCGCAAAAGACACGGGTTGATTCGGAATGTGGCAGTGACAGCTTTGAATTTCAGTGCTGCGTTTTGGGTTATAAAATTAATGGCATGGGATACCTTCTTCGAATATTTGCCTTATTTTTTTCCATTTCAGTAAGTTTTTTATTATAATACTTCCTCGACGTGTAATTTACAAAGTATCACAGTTTAACACTTCCATAACTCTTCAGAAATACTATTAATCATTATTGGTTGCGCGCTTCGTGGTTCGATGTGCAGCTATTCAATCGGTCGATTTTTTGTTCAATCTACATTTTCATGTATTGGCACACGACAAATCTTTTGTTTGAACATTTTTTCACACGGGTTTGCATAAATATATTTTCACCTGTTGGGTTATGTATTATGCTTTCTAGTACATTATGTAACACGTTGCAATCTTTTTTTTTTATAGATTTTTTCTATAATTGATGTATTTATGGATCCTCATGCTATGCTCATAGATGGACTACATGCTCACCAGCAACCATATTATCAGGTATTATTCGATTTCTTCTTATTAGCAACATGAGAAATGCAACCATACTAATTTGACGTTATTCTAGCAAATTGCATTTTTAGAACTATGGAATATATCTAATTTTGATCAGAACCGACGTAAGACAATGTACGCGGATTTCAATCGCAAAACGCCGTTCGATTGTGACCTACACAATAATCCCACCTCAGCATGGGCCGAAATTTCACGTGTATGCATGGATTTTATATTGGGTCTTGCCCGGTCTGCACAGGATAATATCAGAGCACAACAACAAAGGAAGGTAGCATTGAGAAATAAATACGAATTGTTTAAGAAGCTCATAGAAGCTAGTCGTAAACAAAAGAATAAGGTAAAAAAGGCAAAAAAGAATCTCGAGGTCGGGGTGACCGCTGAGACATTGAAAAAAGACCATGAATATTGGGAAATGAAATTATTTGAGTGGTTTCATCCGATGACGGGTAGTTACCCATTGTTTGTGAGGAAAATGTACTGTTACACGGTGGTTCCATTTTTGAAGAGGTCTATTGAACGGCGAACAAGAGATCTTTGTAAAGATCTAGGTGTCACACTATATGCTATTCAAGGTATTTTATCATGAGGATATTTTATACATGATATTAACATAAAAAAAGGTTTACTAATACTCTGAGATTGTAGCTCTAACAACACTGACTGTGAAATCATTAAATGAAGACGAACACGGAATAGTACAGAACGATATCTCCAACGTCTTCGGGGCAATTATTGATTGCTTGTTGTCGCTAGAAAGGTACGTCGAAGAACCTCCACTAGATGATTGGGATATCGGAGACCCTTTTGCCATGACACCTTCGAAAGTTCTGGCAGACCCATTAATCATTATAAACGGTGAGTCGTTTTCCAGAAAGTCGATACCTTTTCATTTCCCATTAATTTAATCTCGTTCTCAATGCCAAATAGTGTTGAAAGATTCATTATTTGAACTGATCGAAGCATTTATGCCGCATATGAGTTATGTAAGACTTAATTCTAATCACTATGAAAGGATTGATAAATTAATTCGCGAAAGGATGTGATCAAAACTATAATTCTAAGTAAACTAAAAAGCGGGTTATGTTTGATACTTTCTCTATTTGAACGATTGAACTTTCTTATTTATGTTTTTGAACTATATTCACATATTTGTGTTATTGATATCATACGAATGTACATAGATTCTTCGAAAATAGTAGGGTTCTTATTTCTTTTGACGAGTTAATAAATAAAGATAATCAGGAATATTAACAAACCCACTATTTATTCTATTATTATTATTTTTTTTAATTACACTATTTATATATAGTGGCCTTCATAAAGAATACATATCAAACTTTAAATAATATTAATAATGAAAAAATATTTGATAGTATTAATTAAAATACAAAACAAGCAGTAGTTTTATTTTTTTAAAAAAAATATATACTTTTGTTCACTTTCATAATAAAATGAGAAATATATATTTGGAAAATATATACTGTATATAATCATTAGTATTACAAAATTCAGAAAAACTAAAAAATTAAAATTCATAAAAATTTGGGTTTTTTATTTATTATATTTCAACAAATTATATTTTTTAAAAAAAAAATTTTTATTTATAATAACATTTGATAAATTGTAATGAATATTTGATAAGGTATTAAAAGAAATTTAAAAATATATAAAAAAATTTTTTAATTAAATGTTATTTTTCTTTTTTTTTTTTTTTTTTTTTTTTTTTTTGCAAAAGGCATTAAATGCGAAACATTTATTAAACTTTCGTTTTTACGTCATTACATTAAGAATCTCTAGCATACAAAGTAAGTAGATTAATCCTAGCCTAATACAAATAAAGTTG